GCACAACCATTGTATTTGGGAGATAGGACTTACCTGACCTTGAGTCAGCCTCACAGTGAGTTTAGTGGCTCTCAATCCATTGTCCATTATTAGATCCATTATCCCATGATGCTTTACATCTGTAGCTTGTCTGTGAGAAATGGTTTATAGATGTTTGAATTGAAGGTGAGGAGTGAGGAAGTGCTTGGTAACTGGGGACATTCAATATAAAATAATCTTTCTAAAAGTTTAATGGTGAAGGTGAGCAAGTTTAATAGCTTAAAGGATAAAAAGGTAGAAAGGAAGGTCAAAAGTCAAAGGAATTAGCCTAGTATTAAGGACAGATGGCAGGCTGCAGAGTTAGGGGAGCTGACTTCAGGTCCCATTCTACTCCTTTCCTATCTGTAGGACCTTAAGCAAATCTTTTAACTTCTCAGATTGAGAGATTTTGTTCAAAGGAGAGGAGTTTTGTCTATGTTTTCAAACAGAAGGATTTGGACTACTCAAATTCTGCTTTTCTTATGTTTGCTTTTCCAAGGGCAACAATGTCTATATTGGGAAGGACTGAATGAAAATGGATATCAGGGAGTGGAAACTCCAGATAACCGAGATTTTCTCAATCCTCATCCTTTTGGAATGTTATGTGTCTCTGCTGATGTCCTTTTCTTTGATATTCTTTTATTTCTATCTTTTTGGGACACCACTACTCTGTCCTGTTTCTCTGACTACTTGTTTGACATCTCCTTCTCTGTCTCCTTTGTTATATCTCAATCCACATTGTATCCCCTAACCCTAGGCTTCCCCAGGATCTGTCTTAGAACCACTTTCCTTCTATCTCTATATTGCTTTACTTGGTTATCTCATCAACTCCTCCAATTTATCCTGTATGCATCTTGTTTGTACGTAGTTGATTGTATGTTTTCTCCCCTATTACAATGTGGACTTCTTGACAATAGAGACTTTTTTTGCCTTAGTGCTTAGCACATTGTCCAGGTATACAGTAGGTGCTTAATAAATGCTTGTTGGTTGAGGCACTCCATATCTTACTACCTGCGGTGAATTCAAGTCAGCAAACCAAAAAGATTTAGTTGGCCAAATAAATTTCTCAGCCAGTGAAAGAATCTTTGAAAAGTCTCAGAGAATGAGTGAGGAGCTAAAAAACAAAAGTTGCCTTGATTAAACAAAAAAAAAAAAAAAAAAGGAGGCAGGTAGAGTCTAGAGATAAGTGAGCCCTACTTCTAATCAAGTTCTAGAACAATATTAAAAGAATGAGTACTTACAGAAAAAGTGATCACTAAAAGACAGCATGGCATTATTTTAAAAAAAACATATTTAATTCCATTGTACTGAGATTTCCTTTTCTGAGAGTAACTCAATGAGTAGATCAATAGAATATTGTATGGGTGACTACTCAGTGAGCCACTCAACTTGGAGGGTTGGCGCTGTGCTATTTAACATTTGTTTTTAATGACTTGGATAAGAGAATATGTTGCATGGATTAGAAATTAGAAGATGACATGAAGCTTGGTGTGAAGTAGGATGACAGAATTCACATTGATAAGAATGTTATTGGGTGAGAATAATACAACAAAGGAAATAGTCAAAGTTAACAGCAATAAATATAAAATGACAATGAGATAAAAAAATAGCTTCACCAATGCAAAATGGGAGAAGTGTGGAAGTGGAGACAACAGCTCTTATGGAAAATACCTAGGGTTTTGAGTGGACTGCAACATCAATATATTAATAGTATGATCTAGCATTGTGTGTCATAGGGTACAGAATGTGGGAGATGGTGGTCCTGCTATATTCTGACCTAGTCAAGCCATATCTCGAGGACTGTGAATGATTTTAAGCCTCACATTTTAGGAGAGACAAGAGAACTGTATTATGTCTGTGAGAGGATGACCAAGATTGTGAGACGACTAGAGAATATTTTATTTTAAAAGTCTTTTTGTTTAAAGGTAGTATGGCACAGTTTGTTTTCAAATTTTATCTTCCTTACTACCTGTCTGGTCTTTTTATTTCTGTTGTAAGTACTTACATAATATTTCTTAGTTAAAAAATTGTTTTTTAATGTTTATTTTTTAAATCTATTTCTGATTTCTCTCCTTCTATACCATCCCTCCCCCACCCATTGTGAAGGCAATACATGTGATACCAATTATATATGTGAAATCACACAAAACATATTTCCATATTAGCCATGTTGCAAAAAAGCAAGAAAAAAATAAAGTGAAAAAGTTATGTTTCAATCTACATTCAGACTCCATTATATCTTTCTTTGGAGTTAGATAGCATTTTTCATTATGAGTCCTTTGGAAGTGTCTTGGATGATTGTATTTCTGAGAGTACCCAAGTCATTCACAATTGATCATCGTACAACATTACAGTGTACAATGTTGTCCTGATTCTGCTCACTTTGCACCAGTTCATATAAGTCTATCCAGGGTTTTCTAAAACCATTCTGCTCATCATTTCTTACAGCACAATAGAATTCCTTCGCAATCACATACCACAACTTGTTCAGCCATTCCTCTCTCAATTTCCAATTCTTTGTCACCACAAAAAAGCTACTATAAATATTTTTGCATATATAGGTCCTTTGTCTTTTTCTTTGATATCTTTGGGATATAGACCTAGTATTGGTATTACTGGGTTAAAGGGTATTCACAGTTGTATAGCTCTTTGGGCATTGTTCAAAATTGCTCTCCAGGATGGTTAGCTCAGTTCACAATTCCATCAACAGTGCGTTAGTGTCTCAATTTCCCCATACCACCACCCAACATCTGTCATTTTCCTTTTCTGTCTCATTTGCTAATCTGATAGGTGTGAGGTGGTATCTCAGAGCTGTTTTAATTTGCATTTCTCTAATCAGTAGCAATTTAGACTGCAGCACTTCTTAAACTGTGGGTTGTGACCCCATGTGGAGTCATAAAAAATTTGGCAGCAGCAAAAGGTTTCTGAAGGTGCAACAACCAAAAAATTAATTAAAAGTCAAACTGTAATGAATCCGAGTTGTTTCTGGCATTGCTTGCCCCTACTGCATCTTGTAACTTCTCTGCAGCCTTGGTTCTGAACACAAAGCATGTGCACTGTGCACTATTCATGCCCTCATTACTATGCAGTGCCAACTAATGTTGCCTAAACATGAAAAGGGATTACAAGTGGAAAAAGTTTAAGAAGCCCTGATTTAGAGCATTTTTCCATGCGACTATTGATAGCTTTGATTTCTTCTTCTGAAAACTGCCTATTCTTACCTGTGTGGTCTTGAGCAAGTCATTTTATACTCTCTAGGCTTTAGCTACTTCATATGTAAAATGGGGGAGTCAGACTAGATGACTCAGAATGCCTCTTCTAGCTCCCCATCTTCTGTGAAGGGTGGTGAGACTTCACTATGAAACTTTTTTTTTCAGAAGCAGTAGAATTTGAAATTCTTTTAGAGGTAGTTAGATACATATGTTTAATAAAGAGAATTGGAGGGAATGGTGCATCCCAGGACTCAGAAGTAGCGGTACTGAAAGTTCACCTTCATGACCTCCAAAGAGATGAAGATCTCAGTAGGGAAACACTGAACAGTACAACTGTTGAAATAAGAAAGGCCAGTCCTTCGAAGGTCAGAAACCTACATGTCAAAGAGCCGGTGTATCATGACGATGCTCTCTTTACTAACCGTTCTTTTCCTTTCCTTTCTTTAAGCAATGATGTGTGAGGTGATGCCCACGATAAACGAGGACACCCCAATGAGCCAAAGGGGGTCCCAGAGTAGTGGCTCAGACTCGGATTCCCATTTTGAGCAGCTGATGGTGAATATGTTAGATGAAAGGGATCGGCTTCTAGAAACCCTTCGTGAGACGCAGGAAAGCTTGTCACTTGCACAGCAGAGACTTCAGGACGTCATCTATGATAGAGACTCGCTCCAGCGGCAGCTTAATTCAGCCATTCCACAGGTATGCTTCTGGCACGCTCTGATCACACTCCAGTCGAAAATGAAACAAGAGCTATGTTAGTCCCTTTGTTAAGAATGTGTTCTTTTTTTTTCTATTCCTACCATTCATTTTAACTTCTCTGATTTGGGTGTTGCTGTTGTTGGTTGAGAAAGAAACAGCAAGAAGGATATCTACATAATTTATTAAAATAAATTAAATAGAAAAAAGGTAAAATGTTATATACAGGGTACAAAATATCAACTATGTAAGTGTAAAGATTGAGAATATATCACAAAATTATCTTAAAAAGACCTTGATCTTTAGTGGACTTCAAGCTTCTAAGTTAGTGGCATGGTAGTATTCCCAATCAAGATAAATGTAATTTTAGATTGCAGTAATAGAAACTTAGTAACCCCCAGAACTATGCAAATGATAGTTCCCCTGTACTCTGTTCTGCTCATACCATATCTGGGTATTGTCATTTCTGGACAATACATTTTAAGAATGCCGTTGACACAGGAAGGACAAAAGGGTGGTGGTGGTGGTGGTGGGTGGTGGCAGTGGTGATGGTGTAGTGGTAGTGATGGGTTACATGAGTGTGTGTGTGTGTATGTGTATGATAATAGCAATGGCTAAGTATCTGAACAGATTTCATGCAAAAGAGGGAACTGAGTTGGGCCTAGATAACAGAACTAAGAGCAAAAAATGAGAGAGGCAATGTAGGCTAATTATAAAAGGAAAAAAAAATTCTTTGCAATTAAAGTTGTCCCCAAGTGGAATGTATTGCTTTGGGAAGATAGTGGTTTTATTCTCCCTAAATGATGATGCTTGTAAAGGGCTGTTTTATAAATCACCCCTGTTGAGTTAATGGTTGGACTAGAGGGTCACTGGGATCCTTTGCAACTCTTGGAATGTGTGATATTCATAAATCAATTGGGGAGCTAGATGTCATGGCACATACCTATAATCCCTGCTATTAGGAAGGTAGAGAGTAGCAGATCTTATGAACTCTGAAGTTTTGTCATGTAGTGAGCTAAGCTGATTGGGTATCTTCATTGAATGCAATATAGGGAGCACCTAGGAGAGAAGGGGCCACCTTGTTTAATTTGGGGTTAACTGATTGAACAAGGAAGCGGAGCAGGTCTCCTCCTGACCAGTAGTGGGATTGGTCCCACGAGAGGCCTCCACACTTCTAGCCTGGGTGAGATAGGAGAAAACAGAGTGAAAGAATGAGAACTAAATGAGGGAAAATTAAATGTGTGTGTATGTCTACATACACATGCACACACACACACACACACACATATATATGTATATATGATACTTAAATCTCTTGTACTTCACTCAAATGGAAGCAATGCTTGCACACTACCTGCTTAAATAAAGACTATTTTTGGCACAGAAGCAAATAATTACTTGCAGCTACTTATTTTTATAAAAAGACTCATTTTAAGGTTACTCTCCCTCCATGTGGATAAAAAGCAAATAGTTAATGACACTGTAACTATTTATAAGTGCCCTAATTATATTCTTGCCAGATAGAGTGAATATATTTTATCTATTTTAATCTTTAAAGTTCATAAATATTTTTATTAGACACCTTTAGTAGTTCTCATACTAATGAAAATCTATCTTGGAAAATGTTCAAAAAAAAAAAAACATCTAACTGCCTTCAATGAATTTGTCAGCAGCGCTAGACAAAACCACACCTGAGACTTCTGATGGAAATGAAGAATTAATTGCTGAGCCACTTTCATCCATCTTCAAAATATTGTTGAGAATGGGATAGGTGCCATATGACAGAGAAAGGTCAATGCTTTACTGAAGTTAGTTACATGGAACTGAAGGTCAAGGGTAATACTGTGGCTGGTTATATGCATATACATATATATGTGTGTATATACATACATACAAATATAATATACATATATACACATATGTATATACATATACCTACCTACATATACACACACATGCATACATACATACACATACACACACACACACACACACACACACACACACATATATATATATCTGGAGTCATCAGCATTAGAGAGAGGTAAATACCTAAGCTTTGATGAGGACACTGAGGGAGAGTGTGTAGAGAAAAAAGAGGAGACCCATGATGGCACCTTCAGGAATGCTCTGATAGTGTCATGAATAATGAACTAGCCTAGGAATCTGAGAATAGGCAGGAAGAGGGATGAGAACAGTGTTGTGAAAGCCCAGAGAGAAGACAGTGTTTAGGAGATGGTGAGTAGTCTCAAACAGTATAGAGAAGTTCAGAAGGATGAGGACTGAGAAAAGACCATTGGATTTCATAATTAAGTGTTCACTGATAGTCTTGTGGAGGGCAATTTCTGGTGAGATTGCCATTAGAATTCTGTCTGAATGTGAAGAGTTGAGAAAATAAACAAAAGGAAGTAGAGGCCAAGTGTAGAGAGCTTTTTGCCCCTAGGTATTTATCTGTGAAAGTGGAGAGTGATATAGGACAATAGCTTAAAGGGGCAGTAAGGTCTCTAGTGACTTTCTCCCCCCCCACCAACAGAGATAATGATGACAGTGAAGATAATCTGCTGTAGCAGTTGAAAAGGGGATGAGATCAAGGGCATATATAGAGGGGATGGCCATCATCCAGTCTCAATAATGCTGAATTACAGCAACCCCTAACTCCTACTTCCCCTTCTTTCATTCTCATCTACCTCAGCCCTACAATTGTAGTGGGCAGCTAGATGGTACAGTGGAAAGAATACTGAGCTTGAAATCAGGAAGATTCATCTCCATGAGTTCAAACATGGCCTCACTCAGGCACTTATTAGCTGTATGATTTAGATTTGAATTCTTGAAGATGAGTCTTCCTGATTCTAAGCCCAGTACTCTATCCACTGCACCACCTAGCTGGCACCACCTACCTCCCACCCCCATCCCTGATTGGCAGAATACCGATACGTACTTTCTCCTCCAATTGAATTGATTTACTGAAGTCAGGAGACTTTGATTCATGATCTTGCTATACTAAGAATCCAAGTGACCTTCCCAAATTGCTGAACTTTAGTGTCCTGCTTTGTTAAATTTGGTTGCATGCCCACCTACTTCATAGGGCTATGGAAAGGTAAGAATGAAAAGTTTGGGGGGCGGGAATCAAGAATGAAATAGAAGGATAATATATTACTAGGCTACATGAACAGTTTCCCAGGTGAAGACAAATATTCTATATATGAGAAAGCCTGAATAAGAATTGAACAAAATTTAAAAGTATAAAGAGGTCATGATTTACATTGCTGGATCTTTTATTTCATTGGCATGGGTCAAGGCTTTTCAATGCTAATAATCTAAATAATATGTGAAATTTCTCTCAGAATAATTATAATTCTCTCAGAGTAATTATAATAGCTAGTATATTTGTAAATATGGGTATATATGTGCATATATGTGTATATATATATATACATATATACACACATACACATATGTATGTATATTGATGTTCAGTCATTTTCATTCATGTCCAACTCTCCATGACTCCATTTAATGTTTTCTTGGCAAAGATACTGAAGTGGTTTGCCATTTCCTTCTCTAGCTCATTTTATAGATGAGGAAATTGAGGCAAACAGGGTTAAGTGACTTGCCCAGGGTCACACAGCTAATAAGTGTTTGAGGCCAAATTTGAACTAAAAAAGATGAGGCTTTCTTACACCAGGCCCAGCACTCTGTCCATTGTATCACCTAGCTGCTATATCTGTGTCTATATTTATATCTGTAGACATATATGTCTTTCTCCATATATATATGTCACATATGTGTGTGCGTATGCACATATGCATATGCGTATATATGTACATATATATTTATGCACATCTGTTTATTTATCTATCTATCTTTGTATCTTTCTATCTATCTCTTTAAGGTTTACCAAGCACTATTATCTCATTTGATCCATACAATGGTTCTGGGAGCTAGGTGGTATTATTATATTCATTTTCCAGATGAGGAAACTGAGACATGTGGAGTTTAAGTGACTTGCCATGGGTCACACAGCTAGTAAGTGCCTGAGGCCACCAGGTCAGAAAGAGGTTCTCCTGACTACTGTTGTTGTACAAGATTTGAAGAAAATGGTTTGATACCAACTTATTTCTGATATTTTACAAGAGACAGGAGGACTGCAATTTGAATGCAAATTGGATAGAAAATGGAGGAATTATTGAACTGTAATCATGCATGTACTGTATACTGTCTTACTGAAAATGTTTGTTTACAAACTAGAACTTTGACTTAGTAACTTAACAGTAGGATCTTCCATTCACAGTGTGAGAGGATCTTGCTTTATTTCATGTCAGTATGGGGCTGGAAGCTGTGGTGCAGTGTTAGTATTTTTATGTGTCTTTTGAGCTCCTTTTCATGTGGCATTACTTATGGAATTCCTAGAGTTGAATGCTGTGGTGATTTGAGAGGGTGAGATATATCCAGAACAGTTTTGAGGTGATAAAAGGCTGTCATGTTGAAGACTTGTTCTTTTTCTGCTGGTTTTGCTGAGTTCCAACATTCTACATATAAGAACATAACCTGAGGCGAGTATTTCTAAATAGCACTGTTTAAAATCTCTTGGTCTAATTTTTTTTTTATCCTTTACTCTCAGCTGAAGATAAGACAAAGTGGAAGCCTGATGGATAGTATCTTTCTTTCAGAGGCAGTTAAATGCAAACTTTATAGATGGCATTTGATTCACATCCAGTTGGGAGTAAGCTTTTGTGTAGGAAAAGTTCTGGTTTTCCACAGATGAAGTCTCATATGGCATAGTATAGGTCCTTCCCAGACAAGTTGGTTATGTTGTTCCTAGAAAGTGGAATTGGACATTGTGTTTGCATGGAGCCTTTAAGGAATACTAGCTCACATTTCATTATGGTTATCTATTTCTTATTGCAGCATGAAATCCTTGAATATTTTGGTTGTCCTTGCAATATGATTAGGTGAAAGTAACTAGTAGAATGGGAACTAATGAACTAAGCAGTTGCGTGGTA